TCTGACAGTGGTCCTCTGATGGTGGTGGTAATAATGGTAGTGGTGGTGGTGGTTTGAATAACGTTAGCCATTCACCCTGCGACGGTTGCGCATGTGTAGTTCGAATAGGAAATTTAAAGGAATTACCAAAATATTTCTTTCGGTTCGGTCTCAGTGATGTTTTCGGAGTCCGCGTTTGCATCTCGATTTTATTTGCAATCGATGAACGTTAGATCGGACGCGTTAGAAAAATATGTTGACTGCAGGGGACAATGATCACAGCTGATAGCTGCATGATTCAAGTTAACTCGTTAATAATGCAATTATTGCGATATCGAAAGTTGAGTGACATATAATCGCTCGATTGACGTGCACGCGAATGATAAACAATCCACGAAAGAAATAACTCGTGCTTCTCTCTTTGCCTTTTAGATTCATTCAGTTTTTCCGCGACATTTGAAATTAGCGGTGGAAAATACGTTTCAATCCATTCCTGTTAATCTATTTAATTGTACGAACTGCACTTTTCATTGGTAAATGCAACCATGGATATTAATGATTTGTCAAATTTATATAAATAATTCGTTTTCAACGATTTTTATGAACTAATTAATTGTTATTGAAATACCTGGACATACATTGGAAATGATCTACCATTTTTCAATAAATTTGTTAATTTTGCAAATAACTCCACTTTCATCGCTTCAATAAATTACATGTTATTACTAAACAGTTTATAAGTGAAATATATTTTTAGATTAGCATCATCCGTATGCTCCTGTCTTACTAATTTTCTGGGAGTGCGTTGGGAACTTAGAGGAAGAGAACATTTAGAACAAGATAGAGCATGTATAATAGTTGCAAATCACCAAAGTTCTTTAGACATAATGGGACTGTTTCAAATATGGCCTGTAATGGAGAAATGTACAGTCATAGCTAAAAAAGAGCTTTTTTATGCGTGGCCCTTTGGTTTAGCCGCTTGGCTTTGTGGTTTGATATTTATAGACAGAATGAACTCCGAGAAAGCTCGTGCAGTTATGAATACTGCCACAAACGATATTAAAAAGGACAAGGTAATTTAGAACGTGTTGTAAAAACATGAAAGTAACTTCTAACAGTGTACACACTTATTTTTCTGCATCCTCTATGTAGATCAAATTATGGATCTTTCCTGAAGGCACCAGGCACAATACTGGTGAAATTCATCCTTTTAAAAAAGGTGCCTTTCATGTTGCTATTACTTCTCAGTTACCTATACTACCAGTTGTATTTTCTTCTTATTACTTTCTATCCTCGAAAGAGAAAAGATTCGATGCTGGTAAGTAATGAATACATTTGCTTAAATACAAATATTAAAATATGAATTCCCCTATATAAATGCATTTAATTCAAAGGTCGAGTTATTATAACAACATTACCACCAATATCTACAGAAGGATTAAATACAGATGATATTGAGCATTTAATGCAAAAAACTCGATGTGCTATGTCAGATGTTTTTCAAACGACTAGTCATGAAGTAAAATTGTCAAGTAATTCTGCAACTTCTTAGAATGAAATGATCATTCCATGGCAATTTGAAGAGAAACCCTGTCATTTAAAATTCAACGGTAACTGAGTGTTAGCTTGGAAACCAAAGACTATTTTTCTATGCCTTATGTTCCATTTAGTGATTATAATTGTTTTTATATTTTATTAAGTATTCATTGCATATGAAAAATACGTGCGAAAGAATAATTGGATAAATGTTGTATAGTAATTATTCTTTTTCTACAATATTTATTTATCAGTAATTTTATTCCATCTTGAAATATAATTTAATGCTCTGAATTTTACAGTAAATGGTAACATAAGAACTGCATGTAAATTGCAATGAACCTTTATACAAATTTTGCGAATATTATATATACATGAATGCAATATAAACCTTAATTTTTTGTTTAATATTAGAGGAAAGAATGTTATATTGTGGAGCAGCCTTTGTATTTTTTTAGGAAATTGTATAATTTTTAGCAAGTAATGGCAATCTGAATTTTATCTTCGAATTGTATATACTATTAATCTAAGTACATTTTACAAATATTTAAATATTAATATTTATGTAGGTAGCAATCATTTGGATAATACGTTTAGAGAAAAGGAATTTGCAAACTTTGAATGATATAGCTAATTCTTTTTCTCCTCAGCCACAATTATTTGAATTATTTATGCAAAATGTATTTGTTTTATAAGATTTTATACGTGTTCATATGCCTATTACATGCTTCCACTCATTACTGCACAGTAAAATCTGAAATTAATAAGTTCTAGTTTTAAAATTCCTTTATCATCTGAACCTAATTATTAGGTAAGTTTTAGATTTAGACCCAAAGTTTTAGACATACGAAGCAACCATTAAACAATCTAATATTGAAAAAATCTTGTCATTTGTTGTTGTACCAGTACAATTCACATACTGTGATAAAAATTCATATTCAACATTAAATATTCTCTTAAGTATTAATTATATCATTGTAATGTTGAATTGAAGCTACGCTATTGTTTACATAGTTTCATTACAGATATACCATTTTTGTAATTTCAAAATGAAAATTTTATTAGATGGATTGTTTGTAGATTTATAATGTCATGAATATATTACTTAAAATTAGTGGGAACTAAAAGAATCAGTAATTATTTTATAAGCTGTTCTTTCCAGAAACATACTAATAACAGGAAATATAATTTTAAAATAGAAAGCTACATACTTTTAATGCATATAAATTTGTTAAACAATAACTAAATTCTGTAAACAAAATGAAGTCTTTTGTTATCATACATGTATGTATAAGTACACATGTAATATACAAGTATTTTAAGTGCCATATTTATAATTAGAAAATAAATTTCTTTTTATATCTCATTTGTATGACTGGATCCATCATCATGTAAGTTAAAATCAACATAGCAAAAGTGGAAGTGAAGTAATAGAACAAAAGTTATTCACTAACTGTAAGACTACCACAACAATTTTACCATATTGAGAAGTTATATTAATACACATGAAGAGCATCATAAAAAAATAAGAACTATCAAACATTTATCGCAATCATGTTACCTGCTTTTAATATGAAAACAATTAAGTTGCATAAGTTCTTTTGTATACTCTTTATTAACATAATAATAGCATGATACACTACAATACAGCTTATAGCCTATGGATAAGAAGTAAAAGAGATATTAAATTAAATTAAAATAAATTTCAATCAATTAATGTTATTGTTATATGAATTAAAATTATTTACAACACACAAGGAGAAAATATCACTGTATAAAAACAAATATATGCGCGATCTCTTTATGCCTAAATCTATTCTATACATTAAACTTTTGTTAGGTAATGATTTTAAACTGCATTTAAACATAAAATTACACATCTGACTGACCAAATCTCATCTACAGTTGTTGTTGTTGTTGTTGTTGTTGACTCTCTGTCCATGCTTTGGCTATTGCTTTCTTCATTTCATCATCTCCTTCTTGATAAATCTTCTTCATTAAATTCATTATGCCTGTACTGTAATCATTTTTATCAGTCATGTCTGGAATAGAAGATGACTTCAATTTTTTGATCGTATTTTCTACTTTTGTCACGTGCGACCATTCCTTTGTATCTTTCTTGGCAAGAGAAACAATAATCATATCTTTTTTCACTTTGAAACTGCTCTTGCTAGGATCAATATCTTCGCATAGATTGTTAATTGTTAGAACATAATTTTTATTATCCAATCCAAGCACTTGCAGATCCAATGACATCTCGGTAAAGGAACATTTTACAGCATCTTTAGATAACTGATGTACATTTTCTAAAGTGATGTACAACTTTACTGCTGAACTTGTTTGTTCCCACCCATAATTGTTCAATTTGACCTCATAGCATTTCTTAGAAGAACTCGGTTTTGCATCGGATGATTTTACAGATGTATCTTTCTGTTCTTCAAGTAACTTAGCCAATTCCGTTTGTAACCTCCTAATTTCAATATTAATTACATCTTTGGCTCTCTGTCGACTTGCTTGTTGAAGCAGGTTGTTAAATTCGTCTATATCCAATTTTAACTGCAAGAAAGAAATGTGAAATTTAAATTATATTTTATAATAAAGTACTTGACACGCGAGTCTTTTCGCAATAACGGTTTCTTTCAAGAACAACAAATATGTTACTCAAGATTTTGAAAGTTTAACCCATGAACGTATCCAGATTTAAGTAAGTATAACGCAAAACTAAGACATTGTATTACGATTCCACAACGTTTAATTAAATATAATGTTCGCCAAGAAAAATGTAACATCCTTATTATAACTTATAATTTCATGAATGAACAACAATGTTTCATACCTCGTCAGCCTTGGTAGACATAATTTTTCTTAAAAGTGGCAACAAATATAATTCACACGAATTCAACAGCAAAGGAAATGTTCAACGTTTCTCAAATTTCTGACAATAATGAACAAAATATTACAAAAATTAACACTGTTATAGCTCATAAGAACTTGACATCAATTCTTCGACGATCAAACACCGCCTGAATACGTTCACGAAACTGTGCGATAGGCGACAGTTGAGTTGCTAGAAATTTCTGGACAGTTCACGTTTTTGAAAATATTTACGTTTGTTCTCAATATAATCATCTCTTCAATGAAAATTTATATTCTACAAAAAAATATTGGATATTTTCATTAAAAAATCTAATAAATAGCATTAATACTTATTAAAATAAATAAAAGACATTCATACAATCGTAGTATTTAATAATTCGGTTGTATTCGTCCAAAAGCAACGGTATATCGAAATATAAAAATGAAATCCCGTAAATTGATATTACACATATTTTTTAACGATCAATATATTCAATTAATCGTTATTATTTTTTATATTTCTTATTTTACTATTTTAAAAAATCACTGCGCCATCTAATAACAAAAGCTTGTATTAATTGAAGATAGATAGTTCAGTCGATATAGGATACAGAATCCGTAATCCGTGTGGGTAACTCGGAAGTTTCTCACTTTTGAAATATGGCGGAATTTACGAGTGATCATCTTGAATCGTGATTGGTCCGTTTAAAATGTAACAGACTTTTATTGCATATGTGAGTTGCGCGAGTGTAAACTATGTTAAAATATATATTAAAATGAATAATTATAATTTATCGGATGCATCGCATTCAGAAACGGCGTCAAAACCTGAAAATGCAGTCCATAAACGTCGGTCTTCTGTGTTTCAAAGTCGACTGACTGCTTTTGATCAATGTGAAGGTTAGTCGCAATCAGATCTGTTTATGTTTATGATTCTTGCGTCAGTTTCAATTAATTTTAACCGAGGTTCGTATATTTCATAACTTACAGGGAATGAAAACAGGGCGGATAACAGTGATGCAGATAGATGTATTTCTGAGACTTCTCAAGCAGAAACTTTCAATTTGGAACAATACATATGCAGCCTTAAAAATGAGAGGAAAGAATGGATTGAGACATTTAGACAACGAAAAACTGAACGAAAATGTTTGACAAAAAAGAAATTACTTTTAGAAAGCCAAGGGCAACCTGTAGATTTGACTACCTTGACAGATTCCGAGGAAGCATTTGTCATGGCCCGTCCAAATTATCAGAGTATCTGTAAGAATAACAAAAGATTAACAGAAATGACATTGAAAGTATCAATGTTAAATCATAGAGCTCACAAGTTAAATCAAAGATTTATTACACAAATGGAGAAACGACTTAGCAAAATTACAAAAACAATTATGGAAATGTCAGAATCGTGATCTAAGTATCACAGTGTAGGTAAAATAATTATTATGACAAAATTTATTATGTATATTATATAAATTTTCTATTTTTTATTATACCAATAAAATAAATATGTATATATATATGTATGTATATATGCAAGGAAAAACCAATGTTCAATTATGTGTAAAATTAATGTGTACTTTATATAGATGTAAGCTACTTTAGCTACTTAAAAGAAATCTTTCTCTCAGGTCTAAAAGATTCATAGCATTACCATTAAACTGATAATGATATATTTGTATTAAAGCAAGTATTTGTTTCCATTCTGATCACATTAAAACGATCAATGCTTTAAATAATTTAAAATAGAATAAAGAAACCAGTAGAGTTGTCATCTGTGCAAGTGAAAGCTCTTGCGCCTAGCGGCTTTTCTTTCTTTTTGAGATAAGTATTCTTTTCTCGATGTGCTGCTGTGCAATTCAAGTATATGATTTATTTTTCTAACGATCTCTTCGGCGGTTATCGAATCCGCCTCGAATTCGTGATTTTTGAATTGTCCGGATGATACTGTTGAAAAACAATTACTTGTCAGACATGAAGTAACAATTCTTCTCATGTGTATCGAATTCGTTAAATAACCGGGAACGCACCTAAAATATTTTCGGATGTAGAAGAGTGCGGTGTATAAACTAATGTAAAAATTGTCTTTGATCCCTTTGTTTCTGTTATCTCACACCAGGCAATATTGTCTATTTGATAGCTAACTGCACGTTGCCTATTCCAAAAACGTCCAGCACCTTTACCAGTCATTATTGGATTAATCTCAATTTTTTCACCTGAGATTCCCAAACAAATTTCAGTCTTTGTTCTGACTTTGTTAATTATGTATACCCTATACAACAAACACAAGCATTAATTTTGAATTGTAATTGGAAGTAAGCAATACGTTTATAATAACGAAATGCCTGTATGATTGGTATAATGGAGCTTCCATGGCAGTAGTGTGACCTTCCATTTTTGCCAAGTCTTCGGCAACTTCTTTCTGTTCTTCATTCTGCCTTTCCAGAAAATTGTCTTCGTCTTTCGTTTCTACATGAGCAGCCATATTGTGTCTGGCTCTATCGCTTGGTTTCATTTCGGTAAGACCGAGCGTCGTGAATTCAAATTTAGAAATAGCTTCTCTCGGATCTAGGCAAGGTAAATCCCAATCGACTTCGCCGTCATCTTCCGTGAAGTATAAACCGTATCTTGCTATATCCTCCCTGAAAACATTAGTGTACCGAAATATTTTCCAACGAGAAATTTGATAAATAACGGTCACGAATTAGAAGGAAGTCGCACTTCAGCTGATGATCTGGATGTTCATTCGCATATTTGTAACAAATTAATCCAATGAAATCCAATACTTTTGCAGTAGCAACTACAACTATTTGTAGAGGGTACGTTCTTTGCTCTTTAGGTAACATACACATAAAAATCCTGTATTTTCTGATAGGAATATCAACTTGTGCCTGCACATAGATTCCTCATAAACAAGGTAACTAAACATTTTAGTAGTCTATAAAGTAGTCCACAGAGTAAAATGATACGTACACTACCATCAAACTTGGCATATTCCATGAACGGATTTTGTGGTAAGTTTGGACACTTCTCAAGTTGCTCGGATAAAAGAGAATGCCTCTTACTAGGTTGACCAGTCTTTTTACGAAAGTCTTTTCTTTGAAATAACTCTGATTGTTGGCTAAGAGACATCGCAGGATTGTGTTCCCACTTTATATTTACTTTGGCAGCTTTCTTTCTCTCGAGATCCATTTTCTCCAATCTTTTAGCAGTGTTAGACCGTTCTCTGTGACTATATTCTATGTGTGTTACAATATTAACATTATATCCGTATCTATGTACCCTGAAATAAGAACAATAACATCTCGAAGGTGGAAATTACCCATCTGTACGTCATAAGATTCCACAAGACCATCTAGATCTTCATCGTCGCTGTCTTCCATACCAGGATAACAGTGCAACATGCCATTCGACTTTAACTGTTTAGGAATATCTTCTCCGACCATTACTATTTCGCATTGACCTTAAAAAGTGCAGTACATAGCATTCAGAAACAGGTGTATAAGAAACGAACGTACCGTTCATTCAAAATACTCAACGTGTAACCTAAATAACATCTAAAGTGTACCTGTATTGTCTGTTAGTAAAAAACTATCGCGAATGTGTGACAGGAGCCAATGGTCATTGTCGTAAAACGCCATCCCCTTTACCTGAAATCTGTTTAGGTCATAAAAAATAATTGCCAAAAATTTCTGTCCACTATTGTCTGAACAAACTCTTCCTCAGTCTTATGAGTATCGTTCTGAACGTGTAAACACAGATGTAAGATCTGCACAGACGTCTCATCCTATGGGACTTTCTGTCTACCGATCTGAAATATCGACATAGCTGGAAGCGCCCTAGTGCACTAGTGACCTCTACTCGGGTGAAACGGTTACCTCATGAATTACGTAAGACGGTAACGTAGAAAATAAAAAGTGTGTGTCCAAGATAAACAGCTCGTTTTATCCTCTGCGTTCAAATCGTTCGCGTTCACAGTAGAAACAGACTGTAATGGTTAGACCATACGACATTATTTCTCCTCAATCCAATAAATCTAAACAAAATATTAGAAAAATGACAGTGAAACGAGCCATTGAGTTCCTAAATATAATATCGTAGTTTATCATTTCTAATAACAATATCTACAGGATCTATTTCATTTTCATTATGTAAAATATAGGATTACAATTGTTACAAATATATGACGCTGGTAGCGAACGTGTTAAGTTACTCTTTCAAATGACTAATTTCACAAATGGTAATGACGATAACAAAACAATAAATACTAAGTTTATAGAACTGAATCGCGTATCGAATGTTACAAACATTATTTGATAAATATTATCTAGTTTAACGCTAGAACCACCGAACATTCAAACTGACTTTCTCATATTCTTCTGTGGAAACAGTGTTACTATTGAGATTTCTATTTACAATTCAGTTTTCCATTATTGAATGTATACAGTAATTTCTCAGAGAATTATCTGTTTCTAATAATTAAAGAATCAATCAAGAATGGATCATTTTAACCTCTCTGGTTCTAGCGTTGAACCTCTAATTTCCAATTCAATTCAGTTTGCCTATTGTTGAATATCTATAGTAATTTCTCAGAGAATTATCAGTTTCCAATAATTAAAGAATCAATCAAGAACTGATCATTTTGACCTCTGATAATTCTAGTATCTAATTTCCAAGGTCTCGACAAGGAAACATCCCTGGAAACAATAGAATAAACACAATAAATGCCCATAAATTCAGCATTAACACGTTGAATTTCATGGGGTCACCGGTGACAACCAAATTGAATTACTATAGTTCACTCAATTAAACGATGATTATTTCAAGATACTTCTATATTATAGACAATGCTACCTCGCGGTGATATTCAGCTAGAACATGTAATAATAATAACGCAATTCAATTAAATGATGTAACAGTGTGTTCCTTCCATTTTCTGTATTTCGCTCTCTAAAATGCAGCATTCAATGTGTTAATAATCGTCACGAGTACAGCTTCCATCCACAGCCCAGAAAGGCCGTCCGCCATCCGGTTGTTTCTCGAAACAATGCGAGAATCCCGGCGCGGTTATCATGCTAATGAGAATCTTATCGTCGGATTACACTTTTATTTAATATTTGTCTTTCCACGGTCCCCTCCCTCCCTCTCATTGTATCCAAGCCGCGGAATTAATACGCCACGTGTCCGCTCGTTTCCGATTGTCCGTGGGCCAGCCACGCTCGCCATCTTTACGCGGGCTGCGCGCGTGTTGCGCGCTCCCACCGTTCATTCGGGATCGGGGCTACCGAATTTTACGAATTTCTGACACGCTCCGCTCTCAACAGTCCGTTTCATTTCACCGGCTAACGAGCGGAATCCTATATCTTCGCCCGGGAACCCCCTCCACGCCAATAAAAATCCGCACGTACGCCGGACGCCCGCGCGTGTGCCTCGGCGTCCATCTCCGGCGCGATAACGGAAACCGAATTCCGAACTAACGCGAGGAACACTCGGTTCGAAAGGTCACGCGACGAAGCCAATTAACCGAGCAGACAGCGCCGTCGCGAAACCACGAAAACCTCCGAAGATCTCGGAGCCAACCGCCGGACGACGAGTTCCTATTTAGTCGAGTCACGACAAATTTCTCCCGACGACGCGAGCCAGATTTTTAAGCGACCGGGAATCCGGAATCGTAAATCGTTCCTCGGTTCGATGGACTCGACGCGTGAAACTACTCGCCGGCGGTCTTAGCATTCTGCACGGCGGTTTCCCGTTCGAGCGCGAATGCTTCGGGGCTTTCGAACGGAACGGCCACTTACTCGCAGGAAGTTTTCCCCGATGACGACGACAGTCGTATTTCATCGCCGCGTTTACGGTTATCGCGCGGCGCGCCGAGCGCGGGACATTGAGGTGCTTTTCGGCTAATATCGAGCGAAACGGGAGCACGCCGCGCGGAAAGAAGACGCGGACGCATTCCTCGGACGAGGGAGGAATGTCCGAGAGAGAAGAGCCAGGGTTCGGTTCGCCCTACGCCACTGGATTTTTCTCGCTATTCTTCTACCGTTAACGCTGTCCTTCCGCGCGAGTCTGTTTCGCGTCATCGCACGTTTGGCGGCCAGACCCGCGCTGGCCTACGAATTTTCCCTGTACTAAGGGAAGTTTTCCTCTTTATTGGAATTCAAGCCAGTCATTCGAGGTGGGATAGTCCCAGCAACCCCTTGACCTACGATTGCTTTCTCGACTCTGATCGATACGACTACTTACTTCGCTTTGATCTCTCATTGAGATATCCTCTACGTGCATTTGTCCTGCGTTCGACGAGTACACGCTCCATTTTTCGATTTCATTGCGCGCAGAACGAGAGGGATCACTATGCATATGATCGAAGACACGTGACGAGGAGCGAGAAAAAAAACCGAGAGAAGCCTGAGGCCGCGAAACAGGTGAGCGAATGGGAAACAATATGCAAGCAATACTACCTGCCAGGTGAAACAGCCGACGAATGCGATTCCCTTTGTCTGAGGGTTTTATTCGCGACTGTTTTCCTTTTACCGCTATTCTTGTCCTTTCTTAGGGGATCTGTCCCGTGATTCCCTCCTCCACCGCGCGACCTCGCCCCTCCGTCGTAGTCGCGGCTCCCTATCTCCCGCTCTTTCCATCTTTGCCGTTTGTTCCTGTCCCCCTGACCCGCTCCGTAATAACGAGAACCCCATTCGAAGTACAATAGCCGTTCATAAATTACCCTCGAAAACGGTAGCATTAGATCCTGCTGGATTCACCCTTTATACAAACCGGCGGGCGTACGCTCGCTTAATTGAGCATCCCCGATAACGCGACACGATCCGGTATATCAGGCGCTAAATTTTCCCCGCGCACTTGGAAAATAACAGACCGCTCGCCGATAGATTCGCCGATTTTCCGGGGAAGTTCAACTGCACCGGCGTCTCCGGATTTCGCCGGTTCTGTCGCTTTCATCGTTCGTGCGTCTTCGGTAATTGATGCGTGAACCTCTTAACGCACAGTTCTTTTGAAAAAAACCGACCAAGAAAAATCAATTTTGATATACTGCGCTTTTGTTCCATGGAGAAAGGCTATATTTTATTCCTGAATAAGTAAGTGTTATAGCTTACTGTCGTCCAACAGATGAATCGGAGCCTACGAGAAGAGGATCTCCAAAGAAGTCAACGATGATGCACAAACGATCGCATAAATACCCGGCCAATTAGTATGCTAATTTCCGCGTAGCGTCTAAGATGGATGCGTCCGTAGAAAAACAGGCGACGAGTAGATCGCACCTCGCGATTCGCGTAGACGAAACGGGCAGAAGGAAGTTCGCCCGGCGACAGTGAACACCGACAATAAATCCGCTCGATAAAATCGAGACAGTTCTATTTCCAAGAGAGCGGTGTCTTTGAGCGGCGGCGACGCTGGCGCGGACGGGAGGTGCGCCGATGAAAGGAAAAATCGCGCGCACGTCCTTCCGCGTAATATTTTTCTGAGAGGCGGAAGCTGGGGAAGATAAGGCACCCGCGACGTCGGGAACGGGAGCGGAGGCGAGCCGCCTTTCAGACGGCGAAAGGGTCGGGGCAATAACGCGGATCTAGATATCGACGCGCGAATTCTCCGCGGACCGGCCGGCGGGGATTTCCCGTTCGGTCTCTTGCGGGACGGATAAATGGTATCACAGGTGATTGTTAAATAGATATTATCGGCGGAAACGAGCTTAAGGCCACTTGTAGCCTCACCGTTTCGTTCGAGCCCTTAAACCATCGTAGTTTTGTATGCACTTTTTATCTTTTCTGAGACTTATCGTGCATTTGCTAGTTTCTCGTAACAATAAGAGCCTTCGTCCCGTGCAACTTGCAATCGTCCTTACGTATCACGAGAAGGGACAGATTCTCCTTGTCTGTTCACATCTGGCGTCCAGTCACCAGCATTTTTAACTCTCTAGCCCGTCTGTTGGCATGTGTTATCAAGGCCGAAGCGTTTCTTGCTTTTTACCTGCCACGGTCGACGATTGCGAAAGGGGCGAATTAGTTATTAACGTTAGCAACTTGGAAGACCCAAGAAGGGAGGGGACTGTGTCTCCCTTCCGCAACCATCTGGATCTAAAAGGGCCAACCGGAACGTCTTCACCCCCGCGAAGACATTGCGGAGGTGTCGTCGAGGAGGATTCTGGGAGGCCCAGTCAGTTGATACACACAGTTGGAAACACATAGTTAGAAACACAAGTTGGAAACACATAGACAAGTATCAACTCACATAGCACATAGCACAGAGTACGGAGTAGGAAGCAAGGATTACAAAGTATCAAGCAGCAATTTTGATCGAGCGCATAGCACTAGAGTCAAAGTCCGCTTCACCTCCTACTCATTTCTAAGTTTTGTTCCCGATCTTACCTGTGGTCCTTCGAGACATACAAGTTTAGTCGGCACACCACGTGCAAACGCCTACAAAGCTCTACCGCCACTACAGTAACCACGAGTAACCAACATCCACCTTTTCGATGTCTAATAATAATAGCAAACACTACAATACGTTCGAGAAATTTCGCAGTCCTCGTCGATGCGAACTGTTAGCCGATCGAGCAATCACTGTCTAGTTACGCAGTGCAGCAACTTTGGTTTCCCCCGAATCCGGACAAGATCGCACCCTCTTTCTCGGCGGCATTCCTCCGGCGTGTCGCGGCGACATAACAGTTCCATTATAACGTACAAGGATTCCCGGGTAGTACGTATCTCGAGGAGACGCGGGTTTCTTTCCCAACCGAGACCCAGTGGCCCGGAGCTTTCGGCGATGTACACACAGATTAGACGCTCGTCGAATTTATCGCGCGGAGAATTTACGCT